ATTTGCAGGATTTAGGTCTTATCTATATAGGAAAGCTTTTTTTTTCCCCCCGCCAACACAATTCACAGGTAAAACTACACTGAAAAAGTACATTCACCTACTTGTTTCAACTATTTTTTTTATGAGCAACCACGTCTCACAAAGCTGAGCTTACATGCTCTCATGCTTTAACCAAAATGGTGGTTGACCTTTGGCAAAGAAATGCCTTCTTCAAAAAACACAGTTCATAACTGAAGTTGAATGAGGAAAATAAAACGTTTTAACTAGCCTGAGTAAAAATTACATTTCACTCTTCCTTTTGCTCTTTTTAATCAGTTCTCAAATCATCAGATCTTTCAGCCTAGAGAGAACCTTGATTTCTAAAGCAAAAAAAAAATCCTTAAAGTAATTCCCTACACACTTACAATAATTGTATATATCATGAAGAAGCAAAAAAAGCACAACTCCAATTTTGTTTCTCTGTGCAGGTTATTTTTTAATCAGCCAACTGTAAAAGAATTAGTAACCTGGAACACACCAGATGGGGAGAGAATGGAACCAAATCTTCTTCTGACATTACTGGTATTACAAAGGTGGCTTGAAAACAAACACAGTTCACCACTTGCAACGTTACAATGCTATATTAAACGTCCTTACCTCCTGCTTCAGATAACACACTAAGCAAAATTTGTTGTCAGGTCTTTCTAAGAGTTACACACTAATAGCAACCATTTTAGCACTGAAATAAAGATGGCTAAAGAGCTAAGACATCAATTAAAGCCTGGCATTAATTTTTATTGAGGAAGCACCTGCATTCCTTGATGAGACAATATATTCAATGCCAGGCTTATTTGAATCTTTTTAAAAAGATGTCCTCTAAAGCTATCATTCAAATCTATACCACAATTAGAGCAGCCAGCAATGATTAAATTGATAGCTAACTACATGGTCCCACTGACACTGAGCCAAGACATGTGCTGGTGATTACAGAAGCTCTCAGTACTGCCTTTGTAGGAACAGACTGTTGATCAAAATATAGGAGACGCTGAGAGAGACAATACTAGTGAATGGGGTCACTGTCTCATGAAGTTCTGCTCTAAGAATCATCCTGTTCTTGGAAACACTTTTTGTAAGTATCTCAGTAGGAAACTACAAATGCAGTTTTCCAGACCAGCTCCTCAGGAATCAAGCTGATTGCATTACTACACTAGAACCTTGCAGTAATATACAGCTTTCCAACCAAAAAGTGATTTAGAAATAATACCACCCTCAAACTCACACCAACCTCAGGAGGTGAGTAAGAGATGGAGTTCGTCACCTTAAAAACACTAAGCAACAGTATAAATACTTTAAGAAAAGAAAATAGGAAGAATATTTATCCACTTGAAACTGAAAAGTGCATTTGTAATTAGGCAGTAACGGGCAGTTGGAAAGCAGCCAGAGCACTGAAATTAACTGCGCAACAGGATGACATGGTAATTCTAGTGACACAAGCAGTCAAAAACTCAGTTAAAGATCACCTCTGACAAGTGGTGCTTCCTCTCCTAAAAATCAAGCTGGAGCATTTCTTCTGGACTGACTCAGAAATGAGTATCACCTGTAATTAACACTTCCTGCAGCAAAACAGTGATGTGTGTAGGTTTGTCTCCATTTACTGTTCTTCTTTGTTTCCTGAAGTCTGGCGGGATTACAGCATAAAATGATCTGGATTAAGACTAGTCTATAATATTATATAATATAATATAGATATTGGACAAATGGAAATGGTGGATCTAAGATAAAGTTTTGAGTGCTGGAAAAGTGTAGTAAGATTATGTGAACCAACACCGCAATGAGGACCCTAGAAGGAAATGTCCTAACAAGTATGCACATGCAAAATCTGGAGTCTTATGATAAAGAGGTATGAGACATTGAACAGTAATAGAAACTCATACTGATGTAACCACTGGAAGACCTATGCTTTTTTCCATTATAGTGAAAAGTCAAGAAAGGATTGCATTAAATTGAGCAACAATAAAGGACTGAAAGCAGCCAAGAAAATCCAAAGCATGTACTAGTAACTATTAATCTTCATTACTGTAAACTCTAACATGGAGCTTGATGGGATACTTGGCTACACAATCCAGTAAAAAGTTCTAGTTTCCACCAAACCAAAACTGAAAGGGTCAAGGAAGACCCTGATTTTATAAGAGGATTCCATGTATGTCTATGGGACTACGGCAGCTCTAGTTAAGCGAACCCAGTGGAAGACTACTGGTTCTTGCCTAGGCCAACATATCATCTGTTGATGTCCTTCCTTCTTTTCTTTTACTCCCATCAATCAGCTCAGCAGTGAAAATGTGATTTATTTGATTTCTGTTTTATATTTGTCAACTGTTCAAACATGACTCTGGGACTTGCATCTATGGGCGCATCCACACATGCAAGCACATGTGCTTGCAGCAGCTCAAATAGAAGCAGTGCAAATTTGAGCTGGGGCTTTTTGCCTCAGTGCACGTGCTGGGACATGCACTTTGTTGTGGAGCAAATTGTGCCACCTGGGGCAAAATAATCCTGCCTGGCTCCTCCCGGATCTACAGCCAAGGGGAGCCAGAGCAGGGAACATTTTTTCATTCCTGCACGTGCCTCTTGCCCCTCCTCAAAGGAGTTTGAGATGGGGCAAGAGGCACATGCATGCTCATCTGAACATGCCCTATGGCATTAGTGCAGTCTCCATCCCCAAGTACTAAGCAGGCCCAGGATTGCTTCACAACCAAGATACAGTCTGGCTGCACATCCACTGATATGTTCAGCAGGAGGAAGTGTGTTGGTGGGGAAACCCTTTTTTTTTTTTTTTTTCAAATGGTAGTAAAGGTAAGATCAGGCAGTCCTTACCACAGATATATAGGAAGAGAGATATCCCATAATTCCCTCCTCCTAGTCACTGGACTGGGGTTGAAGAGTTGGAGAACTATTGTGTGTAGGGAAAGGAGATTTGAAATCATTGAGTGGAAGCTGGAGTGGAATTCTTTGGAGTGGTAAAAAAAATAAGGAATGATAAGAGGAAAATTGTTACGCCCTACCCTGAAGAGGCTGTGTCTAGGAATGAGCAATGGCTGCATAGCTAGTAAAAGATAGCACTCAATCCACTACTGTAAGCAACAGAGCTGAAGGAGTGTGAAAATAATAGAATGATATCAGCCATTTCTCATGCATTGCCGCTGGTCACCATGAGACAAGTGCAGATGAGAAACTTTAAAGTGGTGCCAGAAAAAACAGGCTACAGCCTGGGTTGAGGAACATGGGATCAGACTCCTTGTTGTCAGCAGTCTTAGTATATACATTGCTAAAAACAGATGCAGTGCCAGGAAAATCCAACTCCCAGCATGAAAAAAATAACTCAAGAATGATAATGAGGGAAGCAACAGAGTACAACCAGCAACTGCAAATGTGAATGTGAATGACATAAAAGCTTTATTTTAAAGTTAAATGAAGCAAACTCTGAAGTCCTTACTCAGCCAAACTTTTTCGTTAAGGCTGCCTGGTCTAGCCTGGGACTTTCTAACTTCTTAGTGGCCAGGGGCCAAATACCCCATGGACTGCAACAGTGTGAGCCACAGGCTCCCCCAGGTCACATGCCATCCTGACACCACCACCCATAGCTGCATCACACACTGAACTACCCCTGTGCAGGCCCTCCTGCCAATGGCTACATTTCACATATGTATTCCCCATCCATGTTACACAATGTACCTGTGTGTCTGCTCAAAACTGTACCATGCATCCACATTCCTTTCCCTCCAATACTGCACCATATGCTTACTTCGCCCCAGACTTACCTTCAGCTCACCTGGCCATCCTGTGCTGCACTGCTTTCCCAGGGCAGGGTAAGCTGTGAAAGCTGTAGGAAGGAGGGGGAACCTGGAGACTCCAGCTACCATTGCAGCTGGAGCAATGGGGGAGCGCAATGGCTGGGCAGGAGCCTGGAGCCCATAATTTAGCTTCTCATAGGCCACATATGGCCCACTGCTGCTTGTTGGACAGCTCTAATCTAGGCCAAAAAAAAAAACCAAACAAAAAACAATAAAAGATTTTCTTGTGCAGCAACTAAACCACTAGATGATGGCCAGTAACCCAGAATTCTCATCAAGCTTCTCCTGGGTAGCAAAGATCCTTAATGTTTGAACTCTATCCTCTATACTCTGTATAACCTAAATACTGCATATTGCCATTGAGATTTGATCAATGGTATGGTTAATCTACAATTAAGGTTTAGTCTATACTACACAGTTTTGCTGGAATAGTTTTGAGGGTTAGAATGTGAAACGATTGCATCCCCTAGCAAACAGCCATGCCAGCAAAACCTCTAATGTTGACATAGTTATGTCAACAGAAGAATACTTTTGTCAGCTTTGCTTGGGTTGTTCTGTGAGTGGGTGTTGTTAGACTGGCAGAAAGCCTCCTTTTGATGTTTTTTGCACCTACACTAGAAGACTCTGCCATCATAGCTATGCTAGCAAAGGCTCTGTAGTGTACATTAGTCCCAATGATAAACAGGAGATTGAACTGATATACAACTGGACTATATGAATAATCTTAAAGCAAGTAAGGCACTATAGCTATTGCAGTAGCTTCCACCTGGACACAGCTAGTTGTATTAATATCCTATGCCTGTATAATAGAAGCCATAAGGATTTGGGGTGTCACTATAAATAAGTAACTAAACACTTACATAATACATTACATGTTCCAAGGACTCTAGAGATATCAGTCAATCCTCCCAGAACCCTTGGGAGGTATGTATTAGCAACTGAGGCCCTGATCCAGCATACAGTAGAACCCCATTTTATGCATATTCTACTTACCCGAGTCTCGCGTTTATGCAAATTAATATTAGCATGCAAGCAGAGAAATACACCCTGAGATGCGTGTCATTTGCGTATATATGCAAGACGCATAGATCAAGTCAAATGGAGTCATGTGCAGGTTGGTTTTCCAAGCAGGATTCGGGATTCAGCCTCAGTGTCACCATTTTGTTCAAGATGAGTACTTCTAATACTGATTCTACAAGTGCTTCTGCCTCTACAAGGAAAAGGAAAGCTATAACTTTGGAAGAAAAACTTGAAGTTGTCAAGAGACATGAAAGAGGTGAAAAGACAAAGGAAATTAGGTGTGCTACAGGGTTCAGTGAGTCAACTCTCCATACAATTAGGGACAATGAGGAGAAAATTAAGGAGTCCTGCAAGAGTGCTACACGTTTATCTACTGCCTGTGTTTCATTAACAAGGTCGGCCATCATGGAGAAAATGGAACGCATGTTGACAATGTGGATTGAGCACCAGAAGCAAGAACACATGCCACTTTCGACTCAGGTGATTCAAGCAAAAGCACTCAGCATTTATGAAGTGTTAAAGTGTGATGATCCTGAAGCCAAGCCATTTAGTGCAAGTGCCGGCTGGTTTGATAGATTTAAAGCACGCCACGGATTTCATCATCTGAAACTGATGGTGAAGCAGCATCTGCTGATTAAAGTGCTGCAGATAAATTTCCTTCAATCCTGCAGGCTGCCATTGAGGAGGGAAGCTATGAACTGAGGCAAGTTTTCAACTTGGACGAAACCGGACTCTTCTGGAAATGGATACCGAGTCACATGTTTATCTTAGTCGAGGAGAGAACTGCTCCAGGGTTCAAGGCCGTGAAGAATCACTGCACACTGCTGCTCAGAGCGAATACAGCTGGCGACTTCAAGCTCAAACCATTGATGGTTTACCATGCCAAAAACCCTCAGGCACTTAAGAGTTATGCAAAGGGGCACCTGCCTGTTTATTGGAGAGCCAACTGGAAAAGATGGGTTAGTGGATCATTGTTTGAAGATTATTTTTCCAGTCTGCTGCATTTGGAAGTGAGGGCTTATTGTGATGGGCAAAATCTGCCTTTCAAAGTTCTCTTGCTTCTTGATAATGCTCCAGGAAACCCCCCAAGCCTTGGCGACCTCAGTGAGAACATTAAAGTGCTGTTCTTGCCACCAAACACAACATTGCTTATCCTGCCCATGGATCAGGGTGTTATTCATGCTTTCAAGACCTATCATCTATGAAGGACCTTCAAGAAGTTTATCAATGAGACAGAGTCAAAAGAAAAGGCAAATGTCAAAGAATTTTGGAAGGCATTTAACATCAAGATGGCCATAGACATCTTTGGAGATGCCTGGAATGATGTTACACAGCAGTGCCTTAATGGTGTCTGGAAAAACATCTAGCCTGATGTTGTGAATGATTTCCAAGGCTTTGCTGCTGATGAATTTATCAGTGATGCAAGGCATGAGACAGTTGAGATGGCTAAGTGTGTGGGCTTTGAGCAGGTCGACGAGGAAAACGTGGCTGAGCTGCTCAATTACCATATGGAGGAACTCTCAAACAAGGATCTTCTTGAGCTGGATAGGGAGCTCCATGAAGAGAAAGAGCCCATGGAAAAAAATGGGCTCCCCCCGTGTTCTCACGATGAAAGGCATGGCCAATGTGTTCAAACTTTTGGATGGTTACTTAGCCTTTGATGAAAACGACCGCAATCGTGAAAGAAGAGCTAAGGTTGCCAGGCTGATGAAGGAAGCCAATACCTTCTACACAGAGCTTTACAGGGAGAAGCGGCACTGCTCAGTGCAGTCTTCCTTGGACATGTTCTTCAGGAAGCGGGACAGCACTATCTTGACTCAGTCACCTTACTCTCAGCCCTCCACTTCTGGGGGAGACATATTACTGCCATCTTTTGATGTGTTCGACCTGGATGAAGACTCGATTCCCCATTGATGGATGGATTGAAGATTGTTGCTTGTCTATTTTGTATTTTTTTATTATTTTACTTATAATGTAAATGAATAAATGTGTTTACAATATATTTTTGTAACATAATAAATAAAGTATTGTTTGAAAAAGGTTGCATTTGGTGGCTTTGGTGTCATAAATATGAGGTCCAAGGAATGCAACCCCTAACTTTTCCATTATTTCCTATGGGAAAATTCACCTCAAGTTGCGCAAATTCACGATATGTGAAGTTTCTCAGGAATGCAATATACATGTAAGTCGGGGTTCTAGTGTATGTTTATAAGTTGTCAACTAAATACTCAAGACCCATCCCCATGAATTTAACATCTCTATTTCTTGTAAAATTATATGTTTAAATCTCTGAAGAATTAGAATTTTATATTATGTTATGTTTTAGCTTAGCAGACACAAGAGCACATTTTAAAGTTATTTTATCTAATTTAGAACTAGTATATTGATAATGGGCACGTTAAAATAGCCTAAAACAATGACGGTCCAATGAAATTTCTTCTTTTTATCTTGTCTTCTATTAAAATGCACCACCTGTAAATGGCAGAATTTCAGTGCTCTGCGCACTTTCAAATTAAGCATCTGCCAATTACAAGATCCACTTAGTCTAAGTCAAATTGAGCATTTGTGTGCAAATGAATTCCATGCAAAAGTGCTTTGGAATTTTTTACTTTTCAAGGACAACTCTCTTCTTTCTTGTTTGAAGGATATTAAGCACATTAAAATTCCCAACCAACCTGTTTGCTCATGTTACCATTAGTATTGCACTGCCAAGCCTACAGTTTTTAAAGGGGTATCAAAAGTAACTTGACAAAATAATTAATATTTTGAACATAAAATATTCATTGTTAAGAAAAGATGAAGCCCTCTAATAGCCCAGCTCAAACCAAGAGAATGTATCCGAATGCCTGTTATAAAATAGAAACTTAGAATGTTTTCTAGCCGAAAACACTGGACATAGCTCTTTAAGGATATGTAAATACTTAGATTCATAGATTGTAAGGCCCAAAGGGACCTCGGACGATCGTCAGGTCCAGCCCCCTGCACCAAGCAGGAAAGATAACTGGGGGGTCAGGTGACCCCAGCAAGGTGCCCATCTAGTCTTCTTTTGAAGATTTCCAGGGTAGGCAATTGCTAGGGCTGTGCGAGGCTTTGGACAGAGCTTTGGATCTGGAGAAGCTTTGGACATTTTGGGGTCCGAAGCAGCACATCCGGGTCGAAGCGCTGCTTTGTTTGGCTTCCTGAAGTGCTTCAGAGCCGCCTCGAAGATCTGGCCATAGGGTATAATGGGGAAACAATAAAATATCTATAACTTTGTTGTTTTTTGTCCGATTTGGATTAAACTTTCAGGAGTGATAGACTCTGCAGAGAGAATGAATCCTGCCAACTTCAAGAAGATCAGTGCAGGGGTTCGGGGGGAGTGGTTGTCACGTCTAGGCGTTACAACATAGCGGGGTGAAAACTGCAGGGGTGGTAGCTCTTACTGAGGCCACAAAGCCTGCCAAGTTTCAAGAAGATCAGTGCAGGAGTTTTGGGGCAACTGTACCCCAAATTCTTGAAAGCAAAACTCCTGTCACAGCTGTGTGTTACACCATGGGGGGTTAAAACTGCGGGGGTGGTAACTGTCACTGACAGGGGGTTCTGCAATGACTTTGGCCAGCTCCTTCAGCACTCTTGGATGAAGATCATTTAGTCCTGCTGATTTGTATACATCTAATTTTATTAATTGGTCATACACCAGTTCTATAGCAATAGTAGGAAGGTGATTATTCCTACCGTGCTCATCCTCTACTCTATCTGGCATGGTTTTCCCCTTGGTCCGGTGAAAGACCAAGGCAAAGTAATCATTCAGGAGTTCATCTTTCTCCTGGATACTGGTAACCAGCTCTCCTGAGTTGTTGAGCAACAGCCCCACACTCCTATTTGTTTTCCTCCTGTTCCCTGTGTACCTAAAGAAGGACTTCTTGTCTTTGATTCCCATTCCTAACCTAAGTTTGGTTGCCGCTTTAGCCTTTCTTATCTGTTCCCTGTAAATGTGGGCCATCATGGAATAGTTCTGCTTGGGGCCTGCCCCAAGCTTCCATTGTTTATAAGCCTCTTTCTCCGTTCTTAAAAAAGAAGGTTTCTGAATGGAGAAATAAGTGGAGATGGCTTCAGATAAAATAATGTTTTACACCACCTGGCAGAGATAAAATAGATTGCTTAGGTAGAAGGACAGACAGGGTTTAAGGCCAATTCTGTCTCCCCCTTCACTATGCCTCCAAGTGGCACATGACAACATCACCCTCAGTATGTTAGTTATGTGAAATATCTCATCAGATTAAACCACAGCATTCAAAAGGCACTTACATGAACCTTGCAGAAATGGTCTTTAGTTCTCAGTGAACTATTATAAATGCAGAGTAAAACTACTGAAGTTTCTCTGCATTTACGAGGGTAGAGCAAAGAAAATTTTGTCCTTAAATTGTGGGCTTAAGCCAGTTTAATTGAAGACTAAGTGGAGAAAAACTATCTACTGACACGTCAAGGTTCAAGTGGTGCCAGTTTTGCAAATCTGACAACAAACATTTTCTTCGTGGAATTGATAAAACACTTCAATGACAAGCTAATTTATAAGAAAGGACTAGTATCACATCTATAAAGACTATGTTAAATGGGAAATTTGCATAACAATTTCTATTACCAAATTTTATTCTGTGGCTTTTGATTTAGATCTGCTTAAACAATTGATGCAAACAAAGCTATAATTAAAAAGTGTTGCCAGATTTTCAGAAAAACTTGAAGACAACGTATAGGAATGTGTTTTTCCCCTTAACTGTCATCTTGGATATGGCAAATTAATATTAGTACAAAAAATATTCAGAATCATAGAAAAGTAGGGCTGAAAGGAGCCTCAGGAGGTCATCTAGTCCAACTTTTGCCTAAGGCAGGATAAATTCACTCATGATTTATTCACCCTGGGTTAATTCTACCAATTTTTGTTGATGATAATGGATTTATACCAGGAGTTAATTTGGCCCATATGTCTTCATGATTTTTTGAGCTAATGTGGAGGCAGGCACAAATTAGGAAACCCATTTTTTAAACTTATTAACTCAACAGATCTACCAAAATTCTGTTTGAATGTTTTATAGCTGTTAATACTAACACACTTTTGCTATAGTCTATATAGACTCCCTCTGGTGGCTAATTCAAACCAGATTTATCTTGTCATTGTAGGCCCCAAAATTAAATTATTCTAAACATGGAAGGGTACATACTTTTCACACCATGTATGTCTTTGATTATAGGTACTTTTATTTTAATGGAATCTTTGGAGCACTGACTACACAAACATACAGAGAGCAATGACCCCACTTCTTGTTATACCTTTTATTTACAATATTTTTCACAGTGTTTCTTGACTGGATTTTAAACATGGTCCTCTCCTGAATGTATAATCACAGTCATTAAAGGCTTATCTCTAATTTCACTGAAATTCAATGGCAATTTTAAAAAAATTAAGTCAATGGAAGCAGAAGCCTTCTCTTGCTCTGTAATACAGCTAGGATAAACAGCAATTGCTACAGTTGAGGGTTTGGCTTGTTAATCTATACCACGGGCAGACAATTATTTCAGGCAGAGGGCCACTTACTGAGGTTTGGCAAGCCATCAAGGGCTGCATGACAGCCAGCCAGGGGCAGATAAATATTAATTTTCTAAAGTTTTTAGGGGCCCCGCTTGCCAGACAGAATGGTCTGGCGGACTGCATCCAGCCCGCGGAA